AGATATATAACATGAAGAGGGGTTCACGTGTGTTCATTTGAATAATGTAGAAAGAAAACAGTAGATTGTTATACCCACGAAGATCTTAAAAATAAATGCATCACGGAAGCAGCTTGTTTCATTCATTCATATTTAACTCTTCAGACAGTCACAATACAAACGGTTCTTAGCAAAAACAAAATAACGCAAATTACCAAAAGATATTTCATGAAAGTGTAATTAAAGACCCAATCGAGTTTTCGTTAACATTATATTTTTTAAAATATTATCTTAATTTCGTGAAATGAGAGAAACACTTTTTTTACAGGATGTTAAAGAAGTTCGCAGGTGTGACCGAATTATTCTTGATAAAAATACTAAATAAACAAACAGAAATCTACGAGATTTTGACAACTGTGACAGAGAATTATTACGATTCGGTTACAGAAGTAGGATGCGATTAAATAACCTTGCATTGTTTTTATTACTCACGTTTAAAACCTATTGGTATTTGTACTGTCACGACATATCTAATGTCCACCACCATTATACCGCCGCACTGTGTTTACGTTTCAGCAATGATCAGCGCTTTTGCTTTAGTTTGACATATTCAACTTGGACTTAATGGGCTTAAGGACTAACTGCTACAGTGCGGTGCTATCTTCAACTTCTTCGCCTCCTTCATATATTGGATTTTCTTCCCATTCAGTCTTATTTGTTGATTTATTAACTTTAGCGTATACATGTGGTTTCTCCGACCCTGTGCTCTTTGCTAGACGGTCCGCGCCGTTTTCCGACGATTCCGCTTCCCCTTCATCGCACGAAAGTTCATGGTACTGTGGTTCTTCTCCAAGAGAATGTTCATAATTTGGATTTGGCGTCCACTTAAGAGAAATGGGTGTTTGTGAAAGCGGTCTAATGTCAGAAGAAGAACGCGATGCTTCGTCTGGTGATGTTATAACTATTTGTGGAGATGAACCTTGTCCTTCCATTGAGCAAACGTTTCCTGACCGTGAACGTTGAAAATATTTCCTCCAATTATTCCTACTTATTCGTTCTGGGCCCTTAGCCAAATTTGTTTGATTGGCAGAACAGTTCATGTTTTCGTAGTAATGATCACACACTGTCAGTGTTGTCGCCGCATCGTCGCTTCCAATCACTGCTCCACCGGTGGTGTGAACACATACATAGTCATTTTCCTTCGAGCTGCGTTTACATCTGTGTTTTAATAAAAATGCATATCAAAATAAAATTTTATTTAATCAAATTTCTTTAGTTAATAAAGAAGACTAGATATTTTAAAGTGAATAGGACCTAATAGCGTTGATGAACACATTATACAATGATTTATTAATGAGGGAGAATTGGTCTCTGTCGGGCTAGACCTATAGCAGACAAACTATATTGTTGCATGCGTCTTTAATGTCGTTTGCTACTGTCAATGTTAAGAATGTTAAACCTTGAGCATTTTCCGATTGAAATGATGCAGAACATTTGATTTAAAAATAATTGTGTTATCCAAGAATGTCAATATGAAATAGACTGATGTTGCAAGATGAATAGCTTTAAGTGTATTAGGGATAAGATGGGATGGCCGGTGACTATGGGTACTGCCAAACAGGAAGACGCGATCATTATAAAATCAACCTTTTTGCAATACTTCTTTAGAAACGTGGCCTAAAAAAACGTTAGTGACATCCAAGTACTCCGTGAACTTTCTGCCAACAAAACTACATGGAAGCGTCTTAAAAATATGTAATGAGACTGATCAGAAACATATATATTTTAAAGGTTTTAAAGTGTATATAAATGTGTTCATCAACGCTATTAGGTCCTATTCACTTTAAAATATCTAGTCTAATTTATTCAGTGAAGAAATTTGATTACATGTCATTATTTTAATATGCATTTTTAAAGTGTAAATACTGTCTCTTATACACATCTAGATGTGTATAAGAGACAGCCATTATACCGCCGCACTGTGTTTACGTCTCAGCAATGATCAGCTAGTTAGCTTTAGTTAGACATATTCAACTTGGACTTAATGGGCTTAAGGACTAACTGCTACAGTGCGGTGCTATCTTCAACTTCTTCGCCTCCTTCATATATTGGATTTTCTTCCCATTCAGTCTTATTTGTTGATTTATTAACTTTAGCGTATACATGTGGTTTCTCCGACCCTGTGCTCTTTGCTAGACGGTCCGCGCCGTTTTCCGACGATTCCGCTTCCCCTTCATCGCACGAAAGTTCATGGTACTGTGGTTCTTCTCCAAGAGAATGTTCATAATTTGGATTTGGCGTCCACTTAAGAGAAATCGGTGTTTGTGAAAGCGGTCTAATGTCAGAAGAAGAACGCGATGCTTCGTCTGGTGATGTTATAACTATTTGTGGAGATGAACCTTGTCCTTCCATTGAGCAAACGTTTCCTGACCGTGAACGTTGAAAATATTTCCTCCAATTATTCCTACTTATTCGTTCTGGGCCCTTAGCCAAATTTGTTTATATATTTATGTATATATATATATATATATATATATATATATATATATATTCCGATCAGGTGTGTGTAATATTTTCATTAGGCCGACGGTACCTATAGTAGACTTTGATATAGGCCTATTCAAGCTCGTTTTTCCAATTGTAGGCAGAACAGTCCTTCCAGAATCTAGAAAAACAATAAATTCAAAAAATTTAAAAGAACACCATGGAACTCAACTTACATTGCATGCCTCATAACAAACAATAATTAAACAGTTGATCATTTAATTGTTTCATAATATGGTAGTTGTGTGTAAGCATTCATAAAATCTGGCAGGCATAATTTTTGTGGTCCGCGCAAGTCGCTGACCCCAGAGCCTCACTGCTCTTCTTGTTCTTGTTACCAGAACTTTAAAAGCGTCCAGCTGCCTCGACAGTTTTGAACGGACGTGCAGGAAATTTTGTACACATAAACTAGAGGTGATTTTCAACAAACATTCATCGCTATTTTTTTTTTAATTGGACCCCAGGGTTCCCACTTCACTCACAAAACAAAACAGGGGTCTAGGAAGGACTGGGCATTAAACTGCCATTACCACTATAGAGCACGTCGCAAAAATGGTGCGCTCGGTTAAAGATGTGTTCTAAAGCACAAATCGCGTCTTGACGTATTCAACTTTTTTTTTCCTATTTTAAGATTACAAGACATTTTAATTTCGTACAAATGAACATTCTAAATAATAATTTGTTTTGTACAAATATACATTCTAATTATTTAAAAATCTCAATCTCTTTAGCTCTTACAAAAAAAAACCCAATATAACTTGCGCCTTACCGTATTTAAGCGTGGAGGAACGCGCGAATCGGTGAGCGGTCACGCTTGTTTTTCACAAGGTCGAATAACGGATCTTTAACAACTGACCAATCAGAACAGGGCCGGTAATACTTACAAACCCACGTGTCGTTTTGTGGGTAACAATATACAGGGGCGGGGCTTAGAGGAAAGGTTCATTATGATCTACCAAAATTAGAAGTGTTAAATAAATAATGGCCTGAGATTTTGTCTCAATTTGAGACACAACTCTATACATTTTGTCTGTGGATCACTGAACATACTAAATTAACATCTTTGAATAAAGACCTCTCTTATAACGTGACAAATATTTCTACCAATTTATAATAAATAAATATAATATAATAAACACATATGTACCTTTTCCTGGGTGTTCATATGTCACGGCCCTTGTATGTGTTTTTTCAATGAAAGTAGGCATAGTGATTGGTATGCCTGTTGTAGTGAATTTATCGTCTGTGGAAACATAGATATGAAGTGATAAAAATGTCGTAATTGCTATTTGAATTGAAATATAAATTAATTTGGAAATTGATCAAAAGAACACTGACAGAAAGGAGGAGATTAATTTTCATTCATTTATTATTAATCGTCGTCGCCATCATCACAATCGTCATGATCATCACCATTACTATTACTGGGCCGATTACGCCGCCGCCATTATCGTCGTCTTCGTCGTCATTAACGACATCTTTTTTTTAGTAACTGTACGAATCTATAAATTAATTTTATTCAGCCCCTTGAACTAAAAGGGTAATAATGCTCTGATACAATGCTAAGAAACTAAATATCTTTCAAATAAATCCAATTAATTCACAATAGGCTACTATACAAAATACTAAACTGATGGTCCTACCGAGCAGCTCCGTAATAGTTACGTTGTCAATCGCTATATAACCATCATCTCCACGTTTTTTGACAGCGGTATATTGTACCTGTAACAAGATTAACAAACATGTTTATTTATAACAGTGTCACAAGAGTCACGTACTCTTTCGAAAAATGCAATGCCTCACCGCTCGGCAACTCGACTCTCCGACAACTATCTCTTCGCTGGGGCGGATGCAGGATTTGGCGGTAGGGGGTGCGTGAAAGTCTACCTCACTTCCCCCACCAAGGTTGGGACTGAGGGAATAGACAATTTTGAGAATAGGGACCTCTCGGGCGCGGATCCGGAGTTTAAGCTCACCCTATCGGCGCCAGTCGCTGACAGTTTTGGTTCACAGACGAATCAGGGTGCCTTCCCAAATGTGCAGGGCATCTGCGTCTGCAACATAATCGGAAAAATTGAACCAGGTTCAACCTTCCCGACAACTGTCGACGACTGTCGCTGATAGGGTGGGCGATTGTATGGAAACCGAGCTTTACCCTGACTATCGCACATATAGGGTCTCTTAGTGGGCGCGGTATGAAAAGAGAATGTAATGTATGCTTGTTCCGTCGCTGGAAAACTATTTTAGACGTGGGGCGGGGCGGGGAAGTTGTGGTTTGCGGTAGTCTTGGGGTTCTTCTAGCTTCGGAAAGTTTTGTTTTCTAGATGCTGAGAAATGCACTTACGTGCATTGATGAATGAATACACGCTGAATTCATAGTTTTCCCCCATTTTACCATGGACAATTAATAATTGCAATGATGATGATGATGATGATGATGTGAAGATGATAAGGAGGAGGCATCGTAGCAGGTGAAGATAGGATCCTGTGCAAGGTTAATTAACAGGGCGCCCTTTGATATGAGTATCAACCGAGGCCCGTATCCCGAGTGCGTCGTCATATTTCCAATGCATACAATCGGACAACAGTAATTATCTACAATTTATAATTATAATCAGTACATTCTCGACTGTCATAAAAATATCATTAAAAAAATATTACGTTATATGCATGATCGGAAGCGGAAAGTTTAACCTAAAAGTTTTATATATATTTTATGTTCTTTGTTAAAAGTCCTAATGATATTATCTAATATGACCACAACATAAGGAAGAACACTTTGTCACCTATATAGCCTACATTTATATTTCCTTATTACTAAATCATAAGGAAGTCCGCTCTATATCCAAATTTCTGGAAATTATATGTTTTATGCATCCACCGACGTGGGAATTTTGTTTTATGTTGTTTATCAAAATCATTATACACATGTTAAATCCAATTTTTTTAAAAATAAATAAATAAAAAATACGTTGTCAGTGCACGCGTCAACCTAATAATCTTGTTAAAAATGCGTTTCTAAAATTTATCTTATGACCACAACTTTTAAGTTTTAAGCCAAAATTTCAAAATTGACTAAATTGCGTTTTCTAAAATCACGACAGGCTGAGTAGATTAGGCCTACTGGTTAAAATGTAAAACTTCAAATCACAGAAATCACAAATTTACATTAAGTACATTCTCGACTTACTAATAGAATTCGTTAAAATAATGAAATAATAATTCATTATTCAAAAAGTAATAATTAAAATAATATGTTTTCGCTTTGGTGTAATTTTGGATAACAATAAAATATAATAAAATTATATATGCCTTTCAATAAGGGTATAAGGATCAACGCACATGTATAGCCTATCCTAACCCAACAGTGTACCGTACGTTATCCCGCAGCCGATTTAATTACAGTCCCTCTTTGATTAATACTTAGACGATGCAAAAAGTTTATTTTGTCTATATATTTTTGTCTTTGGTTTAAGTAAGTGGCATTTCTGACAGAAAGAGTTGGAATTGGAGTTGGAATTCGCCAGACCACCAGGCACTGCTATCACTTTATATTGGCGAACGGTGCGAAGAGGTCTGGGTCCGCGCCTGCCTCTAGGTGCCTGAAAATTGCACTCTCATACCTTACAACAATGCAATACAACAATTATTTTTCTTAATACAATTTAGGATGGGAGGGGGCGACCGCACCGTCTGCACCCCCTGCACCTGCCCCAGCTTCGGAGATTCCATCTTGTTGTTTAATACATTTAAAGAAGAGGAATTTGTCAGCGTAAAAAAATAGATGGCCTAACCGGATTCGAACCCGGGCTTTTTACTGTCTATGCAGACGACATCCAGTATTTGTTGGTAATTCAAATTTGATTAAAGCATCCAATTCTCAACACTCATGTGGGTGCTTAATTACATAATAGGAAACATGGCAAATAACAGAGATAAATGTGATACGCCCTCTTCTTATAAGCACTGGACGACACGACAGGATCTCCGAAGATATAGATATATGAATGAAATAATGTATATATATTCATTCTTTCATTTATTCTTTTTGGCTTAGGTGTATATATATATATATATATATATCTCTCTCTTATACACATCTAGATGTGTATAAGAGACAGCACCTATCCTTATCTAAAACTTTAAACATCTTATCTACAT